AGTGGAAACACTGGCGTCACGTATTGCGTCAAGTCAGCTGTACGCGCTTGGTGTACCGGAATTGGTTGCCAAAGATCGTGAGGATTATGTTCGAATTGCTGTGAAATTGGGCACGGATCGTGAATAGTAAGTTGTTGTATATCCATAGAATTTCAATTTCATGTGCATCGTTAAAAAAAAGACTTAGATTTTACGGCAAGTTCTGCTTATTTTTTGTAAAGATGCCAGATTTTTTTAAAAAAGTTTGCTGAATTCATCTATACTGCGATTAACCTGCTTCTAAGCAGCTCGCGATAGAAACTCCATTGACAGCCTTGTCAGCAACTGCCTGCTTTTGCTATCACTCGGGATACTTCCGATTGCCAGCGCTTCTCAGGAAAAATCACTGCGAAGCGAGTATTTTCTGTTTTTTCGCCGTTTTCTAGTCAGAGAATGTTCCTCCTTGTCCAGGCACATTACTTCTTCCCAGCGCTTTTGTTTTGACTCATTTAATAGCCTTTGACAAATTTTTAAGTGTCGGTTAAACCCTCATTGATTTGCTTTTTTAATTTAGTTTGAGTCAAATTCGAGCAAAAGTATGGAAAGCTCGGACAACATCAACACTATTTAACGTTCGACAGTACTGTGCGGATATGGAGCGCCTGCTGCATAAGATGTGGAAGCGATATGCGGATGGCCTACCGCCTGATCATATTTTATCGGATCGTGATGCGCTGGATTCTGATGAGAGAATGATATAGTTCGTTCATCACGCCTTCTTTTCCTGATTTTCCTGGATTTTTTGGATCGGATTGGATTGGCACTGAGAAAAAATTACGTACTTCTTGGCACCGCGGATTAAGGATGGATAATGATACAGAATTGTGCTGCAGAATTTTGTTTTTCTTATTTTTGCTTGATGTTCAAAGAAAAAAGGCAAAGTCAGTGCAGAAGACGGAAAATCCCGAAAATTGCAGGAAAACTGTTAAAAAAAACCTTTTGTTAGCCTTGCCGACAATCGATGGACGTTGCGCATTAGTGAATGATATTCTTAAGCAAAAAGCAACGGTTCGAGTAGCATCCGAAAAGG